AAGGGCACCTGTTTTCGCTGCAGCCAGCCAGGCCACATGGCGAACGCCTGCCCCATGGGGGGGCGTGGAGGCCAAGGTCCCACACCCGTGGTGTGAGGGACCAAAGGGCGGAGCCCTTGCCCCTTATGTCAAAGGGACATAACGGGGCTGCACCAGGGGGTGCAAGGCTGAGGAGCAGCCTAAGGAACTAAGGGCCAGGGGGCCCAAGGAGGAGCCCTAGGGGCCATTAGCTATTGGTGCATTGTGTACTTTTGCAAGAAATGATTATTATGGGATGATAAGTTGCCTACGGAAGTGTTTGTTGTTTTTAGTCCAATTTGGTACCTTGGGCTCAAGGATGGGCTGCACTATGATGTGGGCAACCAGCAAACAACCAGTGCAAAGCAAAGAAGAAGAAGAAGAAGAAAAAAAAAAGGGTGAGAAAAATCGAGCCAATGTTCATACACCTTAATACGAAATCAAAGGACGAGCGAGCCGCATCACGCATCAAGAGACCCATCAAGGTCCAGGAGGACCCAAGAAACATGGAGGGTTGTGCACTGTGTGGTTGTTAACACACACATCTTAAAAACAAAGAGAGAGAGAGAGAGAGAGAGAGAGAGAGAGAGAGAGAGAGAGAGAGAGAGAGAGAGAGAGAGAGAGAGAGAGAGAGAGAAAGGGAAAGAGAGAGAGAGAAGAGGGCGAGAGAGCAAGAGAAAAAGCGTTGTCTCCCTCTCTTGTTTTTTCTCGGGCTCCACATTGCATTGAACATTTGGCTCCTGAACCGCACCCCACTAGGTGCAAGCCGAGCCGTGCCATGCAAAAAAAAAAAAAAAAAAAAAAAAAAAAAACAACTCAAGGTAGGAATCATGCAACCGCAACTCGCCCACGTGCGTGGATACGTGCGAGTGTCCACGGGGCAAGTCTTTCAAATCCCACCACGAAGGCCAGACCACACGACGGTCGGTCTCGAGGCAGTTCACGGAGCACAAGGGCATGTCACGCCCATAAAGGTAGAGAGAAAGAGAGAGAGAGAGAGAGAAAGAGAGAGAGAGAGAGAGAGAGAGAGAGACACACACACACACACTCACATACACACACATACGCACCCACATGCACACCCACCCACACACCCGTACACACACACATACTCCCACACGCACATACACACACATACACACACACAGGTACACACACACCAACACACATAACACAAGGCACACGTACATCTACACACGTGGTTGCACTCGTGCAAAGGCACGACGCCCAAGAGCGCGGTCCGCTGTTACCCAACTGCTCATGCACGCGCTAATGTTGTGGGATAGCCGATTGTGCATGAAAACCCCATGCAGAAATTGACAACCGTTGGATCGGGACGACGCTCTCAATATACGAATACGCGATAACCGACAAGACAGTGTTTATAATGCGAGGACGGCTCCACCAAGCACTACATTGGTGGCGCTCCTGGTGCGATAGTAGCCTCATCCTGTCTATTATCTCACACGGATATTGGTTCCCATGGAAGGATGGGCCCCCGACACCTTTTGAAAGGAAAAACCACGCAGGCGCCCAGACGCATTCGGATTTCACACGCGATGCCATTCAGGACCTCCTGCGAACAGGAGCAGCGGCAAAAGCTCCTGACCGATCAACACTACTATGCATTAGCCCACTCAACGTGATCGAACAACGAGAAAAATGTCGGCTCATCCTCGACCTGTGGAAGGTCAACGAGCACTTGTGCATTCCGAAATTCAAGTACGAAGGCCTCGCCCGGGTAGCGGAGTTGATCCAACCGAACGATTGGATGCTATCGGTTGATCTCAAGTCAGGGTATCATCACGTGGACATCCATCCCACCTGCTGGAAGTACTTTAGGATTCCAGTTCGAAGGCAACTACTACTTCTTCCAATCCCTGCCATTCGGTCTGGCCACGGCCCCTTTCATCTTCACGCAACTCATCAAACAGCTGGCCCGACGATGGCGATCTCTCGGGTGGCGGGTTATCCCGTATGTGGATGATATACTGATCCTGGCAGAGACCGCACAACAAGCGGGAGCCGCATGCGCACAGATCGTCAGGGACCTGAGGGACGCCGGCATTGTAATCAACGAGAATAAGTCGCGTCTGGTCCCCACACAGGAGCTTCGCTTCCTCGGACTCGAGTTGAACACACAAGTCGGCAAATTCTCGGTCGGAGAAGAACGGCGCTCCCTGTTATGAGCGACAATCACAAGTCTCATCGATTCCGGACGCGCTGGTCACCACGTGAACGTTCGTCAAATCGCTCGAGTGACTGGAATGCTTGCTTCCATGAGCCTCGCTTTGGGCGCAACCGCGCGAGCCTTCAGCCACGAGCTATTGCAACTTATCAACAACGCGCCCTCATGGCACTCGAAGGTGTCATTGTCAACTGAGGCCATCCACGAACTGCACTTCTGGGTGGAACAGTTCGACCGTTTCAACGGTGCACCATTCCATCATCCGCATCACTACGACGCCATCATCCAGGTGGATGCCAGCGCGCACAACTGGGGTGCCACCCTCTCTACTTTTCACGGAACACCGAGCAACGCAAGCGTTGGCATGCCCGACAACCTGTGGCCAACCTCAAGTACGCGACGCGAGTTGGAAGGCGTGCTCTGGGCGCTACGCACCTTCATGGACTGTCTTCGACACGGCCACACGTTGGTTCGCGTAGACAACCAAGGGGTCATGTTCATCCTACGAAAAGGCGGCTCGCGCAATAATGAGATCACGCTCACTTGCAAAGAGATCATCACTCTATGCACGGACAACGCGGTGCGACTAGCCATCGAATGGATTCCCAGATATCAGAACGCTTGCGCGGACGAGCTCTCAAAGCTGCAAGACCACGATGACTACACGTTGAAACAACCTTGGTTTCGTCTCTTGGACCGTCGGTGGGGGCCTCACTCCGTCGACCTGTTCGCAAATGCACAGAACGCATTGCTGCCTCGTTTCTTCTCTAAAGTCCCTCACCCGCGAGCCGAGGCCATCAACGCATTCTCCAAGGATTGGCACGGGGAACAGGGCTTCGCATTTCCGCCCCCCCACCTCGTCCCTGCAACTCTCCATCACGCGCGTCGCACACGGGCAAAGCTAACCCTGGTGATCCCTGAGTGGTCAGGGGCAGCCTGGTGGCCCCTAGTGCAACCGGCCCCTCAAACATGGGCCATAGGAATTACTAGCCACCTTCGCCTCGCAAGCGGGAGTCAGTGCCTCCAACCAGGCACACACACTGCCGCATTCTCAGGCACTGGATTTCCCAATAGCCCGATTATTGCATTGTCCATTGACTTTACAATGTAACTCATATATATTCCATGTATGGCAGATATATTATCCAACCTTCAAAAGCAACTCCTCTCGGTAATCAGCCAAGTACGAGCTCCTTCAACAATCCGCACCTACGACCCCTACTGGGGAAAATTCCGATCATTCTGTAACAAGCTATCACTGAGCTACCTACCCGCCACAGACTTGACACTCGCGCTGTACCTGGTATACGCCCTCAACAAGCACGCCACCCTGTCCGCCATCACGCTGACCTGTTCGGCAGTCGCATTCGCACACAAGATGACTGGCCTTACTTGTCCCATGAACGGCCCCTTCACTTCCCAGGTCCGAGAATTCACCAAGCGCCACTCCCCGCGCCCAAACAGGACTAAAGAACCCGTGTCTCTTCACCAGGTTCACCAGATGACATACGAGTTCATCGCATCCGACATTCCCTCCGTATTCCAGAAAGGCCTCATCCCACTGCTCATGTACACGGGCTTTCTCCGCTTCTCGGACCTCGTCGCAATTCAGTGGCAAGACATCCAGTTCGAGGAGGCGGCGATGTGGCTATTGATTCCCCACTCCAAAACGGACCAAGAAGGCAAGGGAATATGGGTCCCAATCGCGACTACACCCGGACCATATTGCCCAGTAAATATCACCAGACAGTTCATCTCGCTTGCCGGCTATGACGCCTCGACCAAAGGACCACTGATACGGGTGTTCACACGTGACTCCAAAGCAACTCCGCACGACCACGCGCCTTCGTACCCAACTGTTCGCAATTGGTGCTTGGAAGCATTCAAAAAGGTTGGCCTCAACGCCAACCACCTTGGCACGCACTCCTTCCGCAAAGGTGCAGCAACGACGGCGGCAGGCATCGGAGTCTCAGATAGGATGTTCAAGCGGTTGGGCCGTTGGCGCAGCGACAACGCAAAAGACCTCTACGTCACCATCGCACACGACCAGCTTGTGGCTGCCTCCCAGCTGATTCAGGATCCTACACGGGCTCCCTCCCCGAACCAGCACCAATTGTCTATCCAGCGGCATCGCCGACCGACCACTCGCTTGTCTCAGAAGGCCCATATGAAATGAAGCACGCTGCCTTAACAAGTTGCAGAAAGCAAGCTTTCACAATATGTAAAATTTTAAAAGTGTGTAACACTTTTCAAAATTGTGTATTGTGAAAGTGTAGCGATTGCCAACGCAGCAAAGGCAGCGTCGCATCGCTACTCTCCCTCTTTTGGCTACAAAAGAGGGGGTTGAGGCCATTCGGCCTCACCCACGTTCTTCTTTTCAATTTCGAAGTTTGAGTTTCCCACCCACCCACCCAGGTAGTCATTGTCTCTAAGATTCTTGCTGTAATCGTAGTTATCATTGGACGAGATTGATGTACTCATACCCATATGAAATGAAGCACGATGCCTTTACAAGTTGCAGAAAGCAAGCTTTCACAATTTTGACGATGTCAAGGGGTGTCGATGAATCTGAGCCCTCAATTGTTGGATTTTGAAGCATCCAACGATTGACGTTTGTGGACATTCATCAGATTTTCGTGGAGGGATTTCGACAAAAACACTATGGACACGCGCTGGAAACTTTTGGAATCTACTGCACATGTACAGTGTCGCAAGCGTGGAACACTATGGATTTAACGTGCGACTTGGTGCTGCCTTGTGCATGCCTCCTACTGCTCCTCCGATCAATCACACGTTACCCTGTTACCTTCTCTTCATCACCATCACCATCAGCACCATCAGCACCATCAGCACCATCCTCATTGATTTTTTGCTGCCCCTCGCACATACCCTACCCTTCCTCCTCTCCCTCCCCCTCCTCATCTCCCTCCTCATCTCCGTCCTCTCCCTCGCCCTCCCCCTCCCCCTCTTCCTCCTCACCGCCCTCTCCCTCTCCCTCTTCCTCCTCCCCGTCTCCCACCTCCTCCCCCTCCCCCCCCCCTCACCCTCTTCATCCCCACCCTCCTCTCCCTCATACTCATCATTCTCCACTTCTTGAGCCTCCCCCATCCCATCATTACCTATTTGCTCCTCTATCTCCTCCTCTTCTTCCTCCATCCCCCCTTCCTCGTCCTCCTCCCCCTCATCTCCTTCATCCTCTCCCTCCTCGTCTCCCTCCCCACCTTTTTGTGCATTCCCCTCCTCTTCCTCCTCTACCTCCTCTTCTCCCTCTTCCTCCTCTTCCTCTTCTCCAATCCCTCCTTCCTCATTCTCCTCTCCATCCCCTCTTCCCTCTCCTTCTAACCCCCCTTCCCCTCCCTCACCCTCATTTTCATCCTCTTCCCCTTCGTTCTCTTCACCCGCATCTTCCTCCCCACCCTCATCTCCCTCTTCATCTCCCTCCTCACCTCCCTCCTCACCTCCCTCCTCACCTCCCTCCTCAACTTCCTCCTCCACCTCCTCTGCCTCCTCTTCTGCTTCTGTATCATCAATCATGGGAGTCGAACCTTCCACACCCACCACCTCCTCTTCCTCTTCTTCTTCCTCCTCCTCCTCTTCCTCTTCCCCATCCTGATCCTCACCCTCCCCTCCCTCATCCTCCTCCTCTCCCCCCACCTCCTCCTCCCCTTCCTGTCCACCTTCCTCCTCCCGCTCCTCCTCTTCCTCCTCCTCCTCCTCCTCCTCCTCCTCCTCCTCCTCCTCCTCCTCCTCCTCCTCCTCCTCCTCCTCCTCCTCCACCTCCTCTTCCTCCTCTTCCCCTCCCTCTCCCCCCTTCCCTCCCCCTCCATCCCCTTTCTCAACATCTATCGCCATACCCACTGCCTCTCCACCCTCCTCCTCCTCATTCTCCTCCCCATCCCCATCTCCTCCCCCACGCATCCTTACGCCCCCACCAGCACCCCCAACCCCATGCCCGGGGGCCTGTGTTGCAACCTTCACAGCACCACCAAGCCCCATATTCGTTGCTGCTCCTGCCTCCCCTCTCGTCCCTCCCCCAGGCGATTGCAAGGCAAGCAGCCGAACCTCCTGAAGAAACCGGGAGTAGATTATGTGAAAGTGGGGAAACCGTAAGACAGTTGGAGTGGGATAGAGCAGGGGGAGAGGTTTCTTTGCTGCTCCTGCCTTGGCCATCGGCCCAGCCCCAGGTGATTGCAAACCAAGAAGCCGAACCTCCTGAAGAAACAGGGAGGGATGGGGTTAAAGAGAGAGAGGGGATGGCAAGACACTTAAAGTGTGATAAGATATAGAGTGGGATAGAGCAAAAGGCAACAGTACTTCGTATTTTCTAGTCGACTCAAAAACAGGTTAAAGAGAGAGAGAGGGGATGGCAAGACACTTAAAGTGTGATAAGGTTAGAGTGGGATAGAGCAAAACGCAATGGTTCTTTGCTGCCCCTGCCTCCCTCTTGCTGCCGCTCCCCTTCTGCCCCCCGTGTCACTGCAAGGCAAGTAGTCGAAAACTCATTAAGAACAAGGATGAAAGAAGATGCATGAAGGAAGGAGGATCCTTACAAAAACCGAGGAAGAAAAAAAAGATGAAGGAGAATTCGTGAAGTCGTTTTCTCACCGGAATGTACTTTGGTTTTCGACGAATGGCGAGGCAGTTTGCATCTGAATCGACGGTTGTGATCGACCGGAAAAGGGGGAGCACAAAAATGGGGATGGCGCAAATGGGGATGGCGCAAAGGTGAGGGGGACAAACAAGAACAGCAGAAGCGAAGCGACGGCAGTGGCGGTGGCAGCAAGTTGAATTTTGAGTCGAATCAAAAGTCAACAAGGTGAGGAGGACAAACAAGAACTGCGGTGGCGGTGGCGGTGGCGGTGGCAGCGGCGGCGACGGCGGGTAATGGGGGTTGCAGCGTCTACCACAGGGCCAGCAGGCGGCGGGTGGCTGCAGCAGCAGCAGGGCAAGGGCGAGGGCGCATAGCTGTTGGCTTTTGAGGCGCCTCAAAGGGCGCATACCTGTTGGGCGGGGGGGCTGCGGCGTCCATTTGAGCACCAGCAGGCGGCGGGTGGGGCCCATGGCGGTCCACTGCTGCATATCGACATGGGGAGAGAACGTCATATGTTACCTGCTGGGCGGGGAGTGCCCATACCTGTTCGGGGGAGAGCACACAGTACCTGTTGGGCGGGGTGGCTGCGGCGTCCATCTCAGGACGAGCAGGCGGCGGGTGGGCCCCACGGCGGTCCACTGCTTCCGCCATCGGCGCACGCTTCCGCTGAACGCCACCGCCGCGCCGTGACGCGCGGAGGAGCGGTTGCGCGTGCCCGCTGCCTCCATCGCGAGGCGTGTTGTCCGGTCCGTTACCGGGTAATTTTCACTCCGTGCGACAAATTCGCGAACCCTAGTGATTTGCGACTGTTCTGGATTGTTGATTAACAAACCCTGTCTTCACTGGTTGCTGTCGCCCTGTAGCGCGGATAAATGATTCCGCATGCCTGCAGCTTCCATGAATTCTACATTCAATATGTCACTGGATGCTAATGTCAATAAAATAAATGCCAACGGAAGTGTAAGGGCAATCAAGGAACTGACAAGGCACTCGTTTACTATGGCAATGAAATCTATGCCAGAAAAAGTCAGTCAGGAAAAGTCACGGAGACCGTAACTATGACAATCGAAAAAATGTCTTCAGCGACTCGCAGGCGCGGAGCCTCTTCTGGAACTAGCGACTCGTAAACGCGCTGCGAGACTCCTACTAGACACAAGGCACCAGTCGCACGCGAGAGGCCCAAGCCAAACGGGGCTCCTAGTCCGTGAATCCTGGAAACCCTAAAAGTTGCGCCCGCTTGTCTCGTGTCGCTGCTATGCTTTCGCGAAGGAGTTACCTTATTGGAACTCAAGTTCGTTCTCAAACCGAGCTCGAATCAGAAAGGGCTCTGGTGTGTTGTTTCTGAGGCGTGACGACAACTGAACTCTCGTAACCGATAGGCGAAAATTTTCGCATAATTTGACATCATGTCGCTCATGCTGTTTTCGTCAACAATCTAGGGTCAACAATATGTTCGTATGGATTTTGCCAGACCTCGCCAGTCCCTGTTGCGAAACCCTTTGTCCGCGTACGCGAAATCTCGCGACTCGAAAGCGATGCTGAAGCAGTGTCATCTCCAGGTTGGGAGGTTATACGATCTTGTTCGACCAGGGAATACGAACCTGGTTTGACAATTCCGCGGCATTATTTCTACCGCAGAGCAGTTTGAACTTGGACTGGACCCTACAGCGGTTGTGTTGCGATGATTGTGGGAGCGGGAATCGAGTTTCTGTTCCTGTGAAAGCTTCATGCCTGGTCTCACAGTGACTGTGATGAGAGCGACGTGCGGTTTCTAGCTGAGAATATTCTCGGGCTAAAAAATCCAGGCCGAGTTGTAGGAAGCAACGTGCAACGCCTGTCGGCTAGTAGCTTGAGCCATGGCTCCGCGAAACACGGCGGGGCAGGAGCCACTTCCCTTAGCGAATCTGCGGAATTTTGCGGCGATCTGGAACGAGAGCACCGAGAACGTGGAGCGGTGGGGAAAGTACATCCTAGATCGGAATATTACGGAGCGATTCGGGAAAGACTTTCTAGATCGGAATGTTGCGGAGCAATGGGGGAAAGTGCGGGGCAAAGGGACTATGAATGAGATCGTGGAAGGTTGGGGAAAGGGGTTCCAAGATCGGATCCGAAGCTTCGTTCCGCCTTCTAGAACTGCGGAGGAGCGCAGCGGCAAACGGGCGGAGGGCGGAAGGATGGCGGAAGGCGGAAGGATGGCGGAAGGCGGAAGGTATGCGGCGGCGCTAGAGGCCACATCTGGGGACGGTGGTATCGTAACGCGTATAGCGCCGGCAGCAGCAGGGCGCGTGGGAGTGATACGGGCTTCTTTTTCATCGCGTCTTCCGTTAGCGCGTATAGAACCCCCTCCCGCTGTAGTAGCTACTTCGAGAACTGAAGAACTTACGAAGAGCGACTCCCCGGACCGCGAATGGCGGAATGGCGGTGCGGCTGACGTGGACGGAGCTGGAAGCAGCGGTTCAGCTGGGCGAGGAACCGGCGACGCCGACTCTAGCGCCGCACCACCCTGGCAGATGCCGCTGAGGGAAGCTTCGAGGAAGGTGGCGGAGCTCGGGCGAGCAGTGAAGGGTCTATGGAAGGGGAGGAAAGATGACGTGAGCGGCGCAGGAACGGGAACAGCAGCAGATGGTGCTGGTGCGGGCAAGCAGAGCAGCAGCCTAGCCTCTCTTGCGCAGGTGAGTGGGTATGCATGCCTACCTGTATTTTCTGACCGTTCCCTTCCTTGCCACCCCTCCCCGAGCAGCAGCCTAGCCTCTCTTTCGCAGGTGAGTGGGTGGCACACTAGCTGTATATTGAGTCGCCTCAAAAGCCTACCATCTCTCTCTTGCGCAGGGTGAGTGAGACTAGCTGGCAGCAGCAGCCCTAGCCAGCGGCAAGCGCGCCACTCTTATCCAGTTTCACGCCCGCCGCTGCCACCACTGCTGTATGTTTCCCCCAACCTCCCTATTTCCCACCAGCGGGCTGACGCGGAGGAGAGGCAGCTAGCAGCAGCTTTAGCCAGCGGCCAGCAGCTAGCAGCTAGCCAGCGGGCAGCAGCCCTAGCCAGCGGCAAGCGTGCCACTCTTATCCAGTTTCACGCCGGCTTCCGCCGCCTCTGCCGGTTTTTTAGTGTATTGTGTCTCACTCTGTCTGGTTTATCTGTTCTCCCCCACTTCTGCCAGTGGCGTGACGCGGAGGAGAGGCATCCGGCAGCAGCCGTAGCCAGCGGCAAATGCGCCACGCTCATCCAGTTCTACGCGCGCTGCTGCCACCTCTGCTTGTCCCTCCCTCAGCCAGTTCTCTTCCCATGAGTCTTGACCTTTTTCTTCCTCGTCCACTCCCTCCTCTGCCCCCCCGTGCCAGTGGCGTGACGCGGAGGAGAGGCATCCGGCAGCAGTGCTAGCCGGCAGCAAACGAGCCACGCTCATCCAGTTCTACGCGCGCTGCTGTCGCCTCTGCTGTATAGCTGCTATCTGTATTCCCTCTCCCTGCCCGCTCCCTCCCTGCCAGTTCCCTGACGCGGAGGAGAGGCAGCTAGCAGCAGCCCTGGCCAGCAAGGCAGCCACGCTTATTCAGTTCAGTTCTACGCCCGCCTTTGCTGTATGGCTAACTGCTTTCTCTCTCTCTGTCCATCCAACGGATTCCCCCACCAGTTCCCTGATGCGGAGGAGAGGCAGCTAGCAGCAGCTCTGGCCAGCGGCAAACGAGCTACCCTTATCCAGTTTTACGCCCGCCGCTGCCGCCTCTGCCGGTCGCTCAGCCAGCTCACCGCTGAGCTGGCGCGACGCAACGCTGACTGGCTCAATGTGGTGCCTGCTGACGTGGAGAACAGCCGATGGCTGCCTGAGGTATGGGGGTCTCGGGTTTGGGGTTCAATGCTGGAATTTGAGTGAGGTTGGGCGGAAGAACGGCAGATAGCTGCTTGATGTTAGGGGTTTTAGGGTTTGTCGGTGGGGGTTTCGGGTTTTGGAGGTTGGGGTTTGGGTTAGGGTATGGAGGTGGATGGGGCACTACAGCATAAAGTACTTGTCATGCTACATGCTGCAAGACAGATGAGGGAGAGCCTTTTACCTCACCGAGGTGACTTTTGAGTCGACTCAAGAGGTGGATGGGGCACTACAGCATAAAGTACTTGTCATGCTACATGCTGCGAGACAGATGAGGGAGAGCCTTTTACCTCACCGAGGTGACTTTTGAGTCGACTCAAGAGGTGGATGGGGCACTACAGCATAAAGTACTTGTCATGCTACATGCTGCGAGACAGATGAGGGAGAGCCTTTTACCTCACCGAGGTGACTTTTGAGTCGACTCAAGAGGTGGATGGGGCACTACAGCATGAAGTACTTGTCATGCTACATGCTACGGGACAGATGGAGAGCCTTTTACCTCATCTCTCCGCTCATACTTTATCCCCTATGTAAACTTCCCCGTTTGCACTGCACCCAACCCAACAGGTGGGGCAGTCCACAGCATAAAGTACGTCCCATGCTACGTGCTGCTGGACGCGCACGGGAGGGCCTCTTGGACAATTTCCGTCTGTTTTTCATCCCCTGTATACACTTCCGCTTTTGCACCCCGGGTGGGGCACTACAGCATTAAGTACGTGCTGTGCTACGCGCTGCTGGATGGCGGGGGAGAGCCTTTTGTACAATCGTCAATTGCGTTTCATCCCCTTTATAAACCTCCCCTTTTGCACCCTCAGGTGGGGCACTACAGCATCAAGTATGTGCCGTGCTACGTGCTGCTAGACGGGCGAGGGAGAGCGCTGGCCAAGACAGGCGAGCCGTACAGCCGCAAGCACGTGGTGAAAGGGCTGGCTTACCTGGTGGAGTCCATTCGGCCCTACCGGCGGCGCCCTGCTGTTGGAGAGGGGGGTGTCGGAAAGGAGAAGCAGCAGCAGGAGCAGGGGCAGGACCAGCAGCAGGAGCAGCAGAAGCAGTAGTAGCACGCAGCAGCAGCAGCACAGCAGCGGCAGGCAAGACAGGCGAGCCGTACAGCCGCAAGCACGTGGTGAAGGGGCTTCTCCTGGCCTACCTGGTGGAGAGCATTCACCCCTACCGCGGCGCCCTTCAGAGGGACAGCAGGGAAACACTAAGGACCAGCCGCAGCAGCAATCGCAGGAGCAACAGCAGCAGCAGCAGCAGCAGGAGGAACAGGAACGCAGTAGTGGTAGCAGCAGCAACAGCACCCGCAGCAGCAGCAGCAGCAGAGGCCGAGACAGGCGAGCCATACAGCCGCAAGCACGTGGTGAAGCAGGAGAAGCAGGAGAAGCAGTAGAAGCAGGAACAGTAGCAGGAGGAGAAGCAGCAGCAGCAGCAGCAGGGGCAAGAGCAGTGGCAGTAGCAGCAGCAGCAGCATTAGTAGTGGTACCAGGCACGTGGTGCAGGGTCTGGCTTACCTGGTGAAGAGCTCCTGTGGAATTGATGTTGCTACTGAAATAGGTTATCTGTAATGTGAATGCAATGCTTAGTTGCTGCTAGGTACTTTCTATTCCGCTATCATGTCGTTTGTGCTGGCATCAAATGTAAAAGCAGATTGAACCATGGGAAGAGAGCAGACAGAGTTATGGTATGTCAGCTGAGAAAATTCGCGTTCTTCTTACGATTATTCTTTTTTTGCTATAACGAGGGAGTACATGACAAGCGATTGCTAATAACCTAGCGATAGTAAGCCCTAATCGCTTCCAACCTAAATACATGCCACACCACCACACCTCTGGCTCCTCACCTTCCTCCACCATGCCCTTTCCTCATGACTTCGTCTCGCCTTCCTTACACCTTTCTCTCTCGTGCTCTCTCCCGCCGTCCTCCACGCTTTACTCTCGTTCTGTCTTATCGCCTTACGCCTTGCTCTCGTGCTCTCACCTCGCCTTCCTCCACGCCCTACTCTCATCCCGTGCTTTCATCACATGTCATACACTGAAGCCAATTTCCCTTCCCTTGCTCCCGAAGATGTGGCTTCCCTCCTTTTTTGTTTTTTTACCAGGAGCCATCGATTATTGATGAGCCATCGATGATTGCTGAGTCATCCATAAGTGCTGCATTCGTGCAGCCACGTGGCGAGGAGCAGAGAAGCGAATGTTTTTGTTTAGCCATGCCGCAACGTGCGCCCCTTTGTTGACAGGATCTGTGCGATAAAACCTGAAGCTTCCCTTACAGTTTTTTTTGCGTGCTTCCATGCGGTGAAGGCAAGGCGAACACGTCTCAAGAATCGAGAATGGCCGCAACGACGCGGATGTCTTTCAATTCCCACCGCTTGATGAGTTTTTGCACCTTGGGCCGTTTTTAAATCCGGCACGGCTGCTATCGTCTTCATTATTTCCCATCACTCCTATTTGTTCCAAAGCTCTCAGAGCTGTCGACAAGCTTTGTCGCGCGCTGGTCTCCTAATCTTCTCGCTGCTCTCACTTGGCGGTTGTGGCGAAGGCTAAGTCTGGGTGGTGAGTGCTGCCCACCCCACCACCCACCACCCACCACTAACTGCTCAAGTTGTTCCCGCATTTCTTTTTCTTCCCCATTGTCTTCTATCCCCCTTCCATTTTTTCACTAACCTCGCTCGTGCCTTCGCTTCGTCCAGGTGTCAAGCTGAGGTGAAATCTCCTTGCGTTGTCATCTTCATACCTTTAGTACACATCGAGTCCAAGAAACCAACTTCAGACACGACACTCTGTGAGTCACCCTGTTACATAGTATACACATCCCATTCAACACGTTATTTTGTGCTTGCTCCTTACAGATTCTTTGAGATATATTTCCACTTCATGTGGCTGTTGTCGTACTTGGTTCATAAAGAAAGGAGTTGGCGACATCGATTTGGCGGAGCTTCTTCCGCTCCATGGCGGCTATCGTGGGAAGAATCCGCAGTGAGGTGTGTCGGCAAACTGGCGCGAATGTTTCGGTGAAGTCCCGTCCATGCTCTTGGTCGAAGCCGCGCATGACCCAGCGTGCCTTGAATTTGTCTATTGTTCCATCGGCTTTCGTTTTCATGCGGAAAACCCATTTTCCCGTGAGGATGGTCTTGTTGCGTGCCACTCCGATAGGCACGACTTTCCAGGTGTTGCGTTCTTGCAATGCCTTTAATTCTTTGTCCATGGCTTCACGCCATTTTTCCCTGTGTTCCCCCCCCAGAGCCTGCTGAAAAGTGGCAGGCTCTTTAGATGGTGCTGCTCCGTGGACAGCGGTGACGGGTCCCAGTATCTGCAGCCCACTTTGTGTGTAGCGGGGGAGATTTGCGTCCTCGGGATAAGTTGCTTCATCTCCTGCTTCTGGATCAGGTAAGAAGTTGGGCCCTATGCGTTCGGAGACGTTGGTGTCGACTGGTTGGGGTGTAACGTAACCGTTGTCGGCGAAGTCGTAGTAGGCTTCGGCGTTTACACTTTCGCGAGGGTTGTCGTCATCCATCGAGATGGGCACTGAGCAGTATGGAAGTGGTCCTGCTTCCTCGGATGCGCCATCCACGTTTTGCTCGTCCTAGTCAGCTTCGTCAGCTGGTGTGGCGAAGGCTCGGTTGCCACGGAAGCCGCCAGTGAGGTCTCGATCTGCTGCTAGGATGTCCAGGTACGTTTGAAGGGAGAGTCGTTCGTAGAAAATGACATCACGTGGTGCTACTGTTTCCTTCGAGTGGACGTAAAAATTCTTCTATGCGTTGTAATGCTTTTCGATGCCCATGTGTAGTCCCCACTGTGCGCGTTGTGAAAATCTTCTGGCTCTTGCAGTGTGCGGTTGGTACTGTACCATGCACCCAAAAACTCGTAACATTTTTGTGTTGCCCAGTTTTCCTGTCTACAGCAGGTGCGGTGATGCGTTGTTCGGGAGCGATGATGACGAGAGCAAGTTGTGCAGCATGACAGCGTGGTCCATCGCCTCGGGCCACTGGTGGCTGGGCAGTCGCATGCCACGTAGCAGTTTGCGCATGGTGTTTTGGAGAGATCTGTTCATCCGTTCTGCCACGCCTTGCAGTTAATGGGCGTAGGGAAGCAAGATGAGTCACTTGATGCCTCGTTCTGCGAGGTACTGCTTGAATCTTTGTGACTGATATTCTCCTCCCCCATCTGACTGGAAGCTTTTCAGCTTCACTCCTGATTCTCGTTCTGCCACAGGTAGCCAGGCGACGAAGGCTTCGAAGGCCATGTCGCGACTTGGAAGGTTGAGATGCCAGACGTATCGGGTGGCGGCGTCGATAAAAGTGATGACATAGTTGTATGCTCCCTGTCCGTGTTCGTGGGTATACAAGATGTCGCTGTAGACTTTCTCCAATGGTGCATAAGCTGGCGCGCTTGGATTGTGATGGGAGACAAACGGTTGACGCGGTAAGTCAGCTTCAGGACAGGTAAAACATGTACCTCGGGCTTGTTGAAGTTCTCTGCCGTCGGTTAGAAGTAGGGAGTCTTTGTCGAGTACTACTGCCCTGATTGTGTTGTTTAACATTGTGTTGCTTGGATGATCCAATCTTTCGTGCCACAGTGATTCGCTCGCACGGTGGCCTGGTGAGCACCTGTATAGGTCGGAGTTAGAATAGAAGCCGGTGGTGAAGTTGGCGCTTCTGTGGACTCCTCTTCGAGTGGGAGTCAACTGCTGAGCCGAAGTTGGTGGCATGTTGTCGATGGGAACCGGTGTTGTTGAAGGACTAGCCGGTGGTGTCGTAGTTGTTGTTGCTGCTACCGATGTTGTCTCTGCTGCTGCCGATGTCTCTACAGCTGTTGATGTTGTCTCTGCTTGTTGAATTGTTGCTAACGCTCTTGTTCTTTCTGCTTCAGGTATGGTGTGTGAGTACCAAAATCCTTCAGGACTGAAGTCGGGGTCGAGATCTGGTGGATGTGTCCAAGAGGCGAAGTTGACGATGGCGTCGCTGTCGGCGGTGCCTTGGTCTGGAACGAAGTCGAGGACGAAGACATTGTTCTTCAAGATTGCCTTGCCGATGTAGAGTCCACCTTTCCCGTGGTATAGCTTGAACTCCTGAGTGGTGCTGTCTGCTTCGAGATGAATTCCCTTCGCCATGATTTGACTGACGCTGAGTAAGTTATAACCGAGTCCTTCTGCGATTAAGACCTTTGACATTTGCAGAATAACGTTGGTTTCTCTAGATTGAAGTTGAACAATCCCCTGTCGTCGTGTGTGCAGGTTTTGGTTGTTGGCGACGGTGATTACGACTTTGCGCTGAAGTTGGTGTTCCTGTTGAACGAAGCGACCCGAGGAGAACATGTGCTGTCCGCAGCAACTGTCCAAGAACCAAGTATCTTTTCCGGATGGCTCGCTCTGGGCGACGGCTGCATACGTCGGGTTAGGCTCCAGTAATTCTCGGCGTGGGATGCTTCGGTCGAGTTGTTCTTATGGTGAGTAGTATTGTGGCGATCCGGTGATGCAGGAGTCTGCCGTTCTTGTCATGCAGCTCACGATGTTTCGTGTACCTTGTGCAGGTGTTGTGGTCGATGTCGTTGAGGACTGTACTTGAGTGGTGAGATGCGCCTGTGTAGAAGCCACTTGAATTCTTGAGGGCCGAAGATTACATTGCGGCGATGTTGACTGCTATTGATTCGGGCAGTGAGTTCGAGGGTGTCCTGACGTCTTGCAAAGATGGCAGAACGGTGGTACGTACTGTTGAGTTTGATGTCGATTGTTGTTGTTGTAGCGCCGTTGAGTGTGAAACGCGAACTCTGGTGCTGACTCTCTCTTCGTGTGTCGTTCTTCGTGTAGGTCCATGTCCTGCTGTTCAGCGTGAATTTCGGCGCAGAGTGCCGCTTCGGAGATCTTTCCGTGAGCTCGGAGAATAGCTCGAGTGGAGCGCCAATGAGGACCGAGGCCAGAGATGACAACTGTCACGAAGGCTTCTTCGGATATCGATCCTCCGCATCGAAGGAGTCTCTCGCGCAGTCCACGACAACGGCTGATATACGCCATCCCCTTTTCGCCGGGTTTCATTTCCACTGTTGTCAGCTGCGCCATA